GCCATGGTTACCTAAACAAACAAACAAACAGACATACAGACAATATCAACATAGGTTCGGGTATTACGTATAGCAGCCCAGGCTGTCAAATCTTATATCAGTCCATCAAGCGAAAAGGCATCAGGGTGAAAGATAAAGAAGTGTAGAAGAGAGCAGTAAGAAGTTGTTGAAGGTCACTAAAAAATAACAGAGGGTATTGGACAGTTACTGAAATTTTAGTATGACTACTAAGGTGAGGTTATTGCGTAGATATATCTACGCTACCGACATTGATTCTAATCCATTTCACTTAGAGTTGCCAACCACTGGGTTTTGTTGTCATGCAGACCCCAACTAGGAAGTCTATATTAACTTACACAATCCAGATCATCAGTTAAAGACTTTCAGAGGTATTGCTGAGTTTCAGTCTAGCCATCTCTAACGTTTTCCCAGCCTGAACCTACCTCAGCTAGCATTGTGAGATGAGCGAGATGATGAATGGGCATGTATGACGCGTCTAAGATGCTTGAGGCGATGAAGGTTCATAGTCTCATCAACTGACTTTTCTCTTCTCCTTAAAAATGTTTGGATGACAGCGCATCAAGCGGTCAGTGCTAAGAAGGCCAATGTGGTTAAGCGTCTGAAGATGTCTTACATCCTCTACCTTTAATAGCCATAATTTACAGCCATATAGCAGGAAAGAGCGAACCTCAGTGCTGTGCACTCGACCTATAAGAAACAGTTGGATATGACAAGGGTTCCATAAATGGCATTATTTAGCGTAAGCTAGTCGGGCCTTCTGTATTGATTCAGTGACTTCATCGGTCACTGACCCACCAGGGGTGATCTGATTTTGCAGGTAGTTAACGCGGTCAACACACTAAACCATTTCACTCCCAATAATCAACAAGGGAGCCGGTGAAGACCAGTCATAAAGCAACAGTTTGAATTTCAGCAGTGACAAATTCATTTCAAATATTCTGGAATTGCCACTTATGATATCCAGAAGATTACATATTTTGTCCACATCATCTTGCATAGATACGTTACCTGAGTACTCTAAACGTGCAAGGGGGTCTCCCGTGATAGGATTAATCCCTGTAAAAGTCAGATGACGATAGGCAGATCTCCATGAGTACGTCTACGATAAAGCTGAATATAATTACTTTCTCGCACCAGGAAACAGTTTAAAACTTCTTGCGTAACGTTTCTGCTGATAATGGTTTCTTAATTAGAATCTACCGAGACTTATTCACTTCAAAACATGACATTATCTACCACTAAATGTTCACACTAATGATATTTTATTGAAGCTGTGCTTCTTTTGCACGTGATAAGGTGTAAGACATTTTTGTTCTCTGATCTCTTTCTTTTATGAGTTAGTAGCAAGTAATCGTGGTTGAAATACAAAACCTTACCTTTTATATTTATATGATATGTCATATTTTATAAACAGTGAATACTATTGTATTTATCTACACCTTTCCGGAGGAACGTCGTGATGTCTCATGATGAACTACATAAATTCAATATTTTGTCTATTTCAAGTGATTGAATTGTAATTGTTTCATTAAGAAAGATTAAGGTTATTGTTGGAATTATTCAGGTTACGAATAGAGTCGACTTACTTTCATCTGAATCATGTAAATTTAGTGAACTGGATCGCCGATAAGCCGAAAAGTGATAAACGTGAATCCCAGATAAGTATCTTTGATCGTATTATTTTATTTATTTTGAATGTTATTTTACTTATGACTTAATTGGCAACATTATAATATAGCTGGGTTCAAATGCTTTCGGTTGATCACTTATCTATTTATGGTTGACTTGTAGTTTAGAAATAATTGCTTGTTCAGTGAACTCCATTAGTATGGATTATCTTATTTGTGCCTGAAATTGGTTCTTTTGTTTTTATAAATTATGGTGCGTTGTGGTCAGGTAATTTAATTGTATATGTAGATGAGTCAAATCGCTTAAAATATACGGACTTTCATCAGTTGGAGGAACATTAGAAACCTGGGAGCAGTGTCCATGGAACCCGAAGGTCCTGAGTTCGATCCTTGGGGGTTCATGGGTGCGCACTGCTGAGGATTCCCATACTTGGACGAAACAGCTGTCCAGTGCTACCAGGTTTCCACTGTTTCTTAAAGTGATGACAGTTGGTGATAAATTCCAACCTGAAATCAATTTATAAGTCTCCACAGAATTCCAGATAGAAATAAGCACCAGACTTTGTGTCCTGTTATAAACGGCTGGAAGGGCTGAGGTGCGTGAATTGAATATAATACGAAACTGAACAAGTATATAAGAGACCAGTCATAGGCAATGTCAGCATTAAGACTGGTTCAGCAGAATCAGGTGCTTAAGATAGCTGCATCGAATATATAAGTATCAATTCCTCAAGGATACTTGGCGCTTTTGTATTTATCAAAAAGCAATGAAATGTTGAAGATATTTTTTACTCAACAGATATAAGTTTCCACTGTATATTACAACTTTTCAGCAAGAAATTACCCAACACAAACGCCTCAAAATTGTTTACATTTATTCAGACATTATGATCATAAAAGCAAAAGGATATTTATAAGAAGGATAGTAATCTTTCATGAAAAATGTGGTGCAATAGTGTTAAACACTACAAACAACCTGATCACATATGGACTTGTTGAATTATATGTAAAAAAACTTACGAGAAACGTTAGTGAAATGAATAGGAAACACCACACCGAGAGGGATTTGGCTTAGATTTTGTATCTGTTATACCCTTTCCTATCCTTATATTTCCTATTGACCCAACTGACGTTTTACATAAATTTTCTTACATGTGAAATCAGACTGCTCAAAATGTAAAGCGTTGTTACATCATAATCTTCGTCTTCTCATAAGGCTGTACAAATTTATCAAGAGGACTAATTGCTTTAGACTCTTTCCGATAAGTTCATTTCTGCAGCCTATAAATTATCCATTGTACATTCCAAAGAATCGAGTATTTCTGAAGAATTTTCTGTCAAAGATCAGAGCGAAAAAAGTAGCAAAATTAGGTTCAAAAAGAATATAGAAGAATGTAACATTGTATTCGCGTGGCCTAAAATAAGAAAAGGTTGGATTGTTAACGAACAAAGTAGGATTAATTGGTGAAAAAATACTCAAAGTGACTTTGTAGGTCTTTAGCAATAAAAGTGACTTATTTCGACAGGCGATTCATGAAGTTTTAATGAGGAGTTGTGATCGGAGAGGCTAAGTTGAACGTGAGGACAGTTGCTCAGTGATGATATTGGATAGAAGACGCACCATATCATGAACTGGTTACGGGACCTGAACGTCTTGGGTTCGATCCATGACATGGGTGCGCACTGTTGAGGAGTCCCATATTAGGACAAGTCAAGTGTCCGGTGCTTCCAGGTTTTCAGTGTTCCTCCAACTGATGTCAGTCCATGATGAATATGAATCTGAGGTCAATAAAAAACGCCCACGGACCTTCAAAATGAATTATTATAATGGCTTCAAGTTGATAGGTTTGAAGTCATGGATTATCTTTTGCTCGGTTACATGTAGATTTTTTAACCCTAATAGTATTTTGAATTCATTCAGTGTTTTAATCAACGTTCCAAAAGCAATTAAATGTTATGAGCTCATGAAGTGTTAAACATAAGAGTTCTATGTGGTTCAAACGGTAATGAAATGAAATTCAGCTAAGGATGAAAAGAAAATAAAGTCGGTTTGTCTGAAAATTAAATTAGTAATTAATATTTTTCAGAATTATTCAGCTCCAATGCGACTTACGTAATTTGGAAAATGATAAAGCAATCGACGAAGAGAAATGAGGAGCGGATGAAGCAATATGCAGTTTTGAGTCCCCTAGCTCTAGCCAGAGCAGAAAGTCGAATGAGTAACTCATAAGAAGTGATTTACAACACTATCTTTGATGCCTGTAACTGATGAAAGATTGAATCCCAAGTGGATCATCAGTTTCCGAAGGGTTGAAGAGGTGAGCAGCGAAAAATGTGCCAATAACGATGAAGCAATAACTTTGGATCTTTATTTTAACTATATTGACCTATCTACAAATAAACAAAGCTGACTATACTATTAGGAAAGTGATGGATAGGAATCATTTGGCACTAAAAAGCAGAGATGATCAACAGATAGCATTGATTCTCTTGGAGGCACTGACTACCAATACAGTCAAATACAAATAATCTCATACAAAACTTCTTTTTTCCTCTTTTTATAGGGTTAGACAAAAACTAATTACAGTTAATTATTAACTAAACCAGAGAAACTTCAAATCTGGACCACAGGTTTTCTTGTATACTTCTGGTTCTGATCTCATTTAAGTTTAATTATCATGTATTCTTCTTCAATTGCTTCAACAATATCTCGTGGTAAAATGTAAGACTTACTTGCCTAAAAATGGAATTTTTTGGAGTTGAAAAAATTTGATTCTTTTCGAATATTATGCTTGGAAATCTTTTATTGCTTACACCGCTTTACAGGTAAAGAGTTTATTCACTGTATCAAAATTTAAACCAAAAGCTTAACTACTTATTGGGAAGAAAATGGCATCATATTCACTATACCAATACTAAATGACAAAGGCTGATAAATTTCCCTCCACACTGATTGGTCACTAGAGAGTAACCAATTTCACATTGTTCAGCCTTCAGTGATAATTAAATTCTACTGATTATTTTGTATTGTGTTTCTCATCATGGTACACTTTGATTGATTTCAGATTGTTGCGGTATTCAGGAAACTAACTTCTCTAAACACCTTTCATTTTTAAAATGTGGCAAATAGTCGTTAAAAAAACATACATAACTACACTTCTCTGTATTCAAAGTAAAAAGGTTAGAATTCCGTTTTTCATTGAACTGAAGTATCTATCGGAAGACATTCAAGTTTCATACTAGAGTTCATCATCAGAGCAACTCATTTCCAGGTGAAATAAAAACTCATTCTTAATATATCTGTACTTTGAGCTGTTTGCGCTTTGGTCATCTGTAAGAAGTAGTATAATTAAACAATAATTACATTTATTAGGTGGTGACACAAATAAAAACAAGAACTACAATAGTTGCACAGCTAAGTTGACTGAAACATCTGAAGTATAGTGTATACAACAAATGAGAGTAAAGAAGAATCAACTAAATTTTTAAAAAGCTATGGACAAAAAACAAGAGAAATAGCATTTTCCCGTTTGATTTTCCATATTGACCCAAATACAACCGGCAAAGTTTGGATAATGTATGGGTACCAGTTTAATGAGGAACTAAGTGGTGAATTTCTCTTTGAAGGTTTCTCAGAGTTAAAATCTTTAGTCATTCAGTTGAAATTTGTACAATAGATCAAGGAAATATACTTTGACTCTAAGAACAACAACTATCAGCTTGTGATGAACTCGATTTATACAGGAATTCATGCAGATTAATATGAGAATTTACTTCACGCTTAGGATAATGTTGAACATGATCACCGAATTTCGATCTCGTAGTCATCAGTGGATGATTTTTTTCCTGTTTGAATATGATTTTCAATTTCTCTTGGTACATGCTCCTGCAATTTATTACCATCTGCTTTAAGACCTTGATTTCTAAATGAATTCTGTGATGTTATTTTTGTTGCACCTGTAACGTAAGCCAGTGGTTTCAATATATTCAAGTAGCCTGCATCACCTGTGTCTAACTTCTCAGGTTGCCTATCCAAACAGTACGCCAAACTACCTACTAATTGAACGTATTGTGGCCTATTTGGGTTAAACTTTTGTGTTATATCGTTCATCTCAGATAGGTTGTATTGTTTAAAACAGCCAGTATCCATCGTCAGTGTTTTTGGATAATGACTTGTCTCTTCTCCTTTTTCTTCTGCTTTTGTCTTTTCTTGACCATTACTTTTTGCTAAGTTTTGTTCTAACAAACCTAGTTCTGGCAAACTCACCGATTCTTTTTCGATTTCACAAGTACTGGGTGAATAAGTTGATTCAACCTGATTGGTTATTGGACAGTGGATTTTTTCTGTGACAGTTGGGGTACATATATGCCCTTCTTTAGTAATATCAATACTATCTGGCTCTTCTGACCGACTAATTACATCTTGAGGTGCAAATACGTTGTCATCTTGATATTCCATCTTTAAAGTAGTGTCATTCGGCTTTATTTGGTTTGTTCTATCACACCTACGGATAGTTTGATTTTCAACTTGAAGAATTATGTCTGAGTCAGATACTTCAGTACATGGTTTCTCTTTACTTCTGTCTTTCATCGACCAGCTAGATAATGAGTAATTTAAAGAGGGAGAATTTTCTTCACATAGCGTTGTTTCTGAACAGATGGTTGTATCATCCTCTGTGAAATCAATGATTTCCTTACTATTCACAGATAAAATTGGAATTTTATGTGATAATTTCATTACTTTGTCATATTTATGCCATTTTTTAACAGCCAATCCATTTACTCCGCATGAATTTTTATTTTTATATATTTCTGAACTATCTGGCTTATCTTCTTCAGAATGATGTAATATTTTAGAGGGTTCTAAAATTTCAATAGAATTTTTGCAGCATATTCCACACTGAACACTTTCATCTCGTTGAAATGCATTTGAGTTGTTCTGAACATTGTCCAGTAGGGTGATAACTTTTGAGTATAAGTATTTGTCGTGTACATCAGACATTTTTATAATTGACCTGGGATTCGACTGTGATTTATTAGCTGGAGTTTGTAAAATAGAAGGTGAAATCAGTGTGTTAGCGGTGAACTGGTTTTCAGTTACTGGTTTGCTACTTATCACTTCAGTTGATGATGACAGCAGACACTTGTGCACTGACAGAAATGGATAGGTCTGATGTAAATTTAGACATTCTGAAGGTTTCAGAAATTGAGGTGTATCTGTTAATTCTGTGGTACTACTGTTCAAATCGCTTTGTGGACTGCTGATATTTGTATCGCCGCTATCCGTCTTTACTTTATGATACGGTTGACTATCATCAAAGGATAGATTTTGATGATTCGTTTCTTGTTGTTTAAACAAACCATCAACATTCTGGTCAGGTGTAGTTTCACATATTTTGACGTTCAAATCAACGATGGCTTCTGGTTCATGTTGTTGTGGGGATATAAAAATTTGTCTTATATCCTCTTTATAGCCTATTGTGAATAAAAGAAGCAAAAAATGATGATAGTACCGCTGAGTAGGACTTGTTACTAATGCTAAAAATGGAACGAAATCTCGAAGTAAGCATAATATTATGTTCAGCTATTTCAGAATAGAAATTTTGGGTTAAGTTCAAGAATTTTACTTTGACCACTGGTTATTATTCCTGTTAGCTAACATGAAACCATTAAGTTATTAAGTCAAATTATCGAACAGTGTGTCTTTTTGCCTCATTCAGTATGCTATTTAGAGCCTCGCACTTAAACCTGATTCAACTCTTCTATTCATAAAAGCTCACTAGTGACAAGTAAGTTTTCGCTGAGTAAATGATCAGGTGTGTAAAACAGCTGGAGATAACTAACAAGAAGCAATGGGCGTTGTTTAATTGCCTGTTGGAACCTGTCAGCAACACTGAGAGAATCTATGTCCCCTAAGAGGTTTGAACTTATGTGACTCACTGCAGAAATTAAAGACATTACCACTAATCTTCTGTAAGTGTTGAAATCGAACAACTTGAACGCTGAACAGAGAACAGTTCAAATCGACGAAGTTCCATACTGCAATGCCTCCAATCCTTCCATACTAAAGTTGTCTCTGAGTTACAAAACTGATATAAACGAGATTGCATATAAATTACCTGTTAATTATCCATTTTCTTCTACGTAAGCTTCATAACAACACGTTTTTAGCATTTTCAGAGTGTGTTTATTCTCGCTTTGTCAGTAAACACACGTACTCCAATGTGACAGATTTTGATCTATACTTTTTTCGAGGTAGTATTCGTCATGGCCTAAAATCAATTGGAGAATCATCGAAAACCTGAGAGTACTGGACAGCTGGCCGGGTCGTGAGTCCCATCATATCGCGAAACAGTCATCCAGTGCCCCAGGTTTTCGATGTTTCTCCAAATAATGTCATTCTGGAGTGAATACCTCCTTAGAAATATAATCAACATGAATCTCAAACTTGATTAGTTTATTGCTACAAAAGAATTTCTTTCAAGAAATTATCACCCTTTGCAGTGATTAGGTCATATCACTAAACTTCAGTAATTTGATCTTTAAATTCATATAAAACTCGTAAATTCTATGGTATCAATGACGGATAGTAGCTAGCAGTGAAGTCTAGGTCGCCCATTTTGTCCTATTTGAGTCTTGTTAGCTAGTTGTACCCGCCTCCCACTGAGTGTTGCTGTTCCCAACTAAGATTCTAACCCAAAACCAATCACTTTAAGAGTCAGAGCGTTCCTCGAAATGCCACAAGCCATAGCAGCAAACTAATATCCTTGGTTTCAACCATTCAGAGGAAATCAAAATGAACCTTTATTAACGAACAGTTGACATATAGAAAGTAGTACGAAAGGTTATTTGTTCAGGAAAAAATTACTGACAATATTTAATGTTACTTGTAGTAAATGAGATCATTTTGTATTTTTTTGAATTTAGGATTTTAAATAAATTTGTTTGTACGAAGAGAAATTACAAGCTATAATATCTAAACTATACTGTACCCGTTGCACAAAGAGTGGCTATCATAGATCAGTTGCCCAATAGATAACCTTCTAATATTTGAAACAATCAATCCTGACTTTGAGACTTAGTGGCAGAAACATCGTTCACTAGGAGGTAGGTACATCCTACTGATGGGTCTCATATACAATGGGACGTGCAACGTGGATTCCACTGCTGGCGACTATCTATTCTTACTACTGTTATTAGTAACGTATCACAGGTTTGTACTCTAGACTGGCTATCACTTTCGCTTTTTTAAGGCTGGAACACGACTTTGTTGGTTCAGCTTCGCAGACAATGACTGTAAGCTCAGTTTGAAAATGTTTTATGAAATGTCAGATGCTTCTGTACGCATTCTTTCCGTATATTTGTTTTTAAAAAAGAATATCATTTATTTGAACTCTTTTTAACTGAGAGCATGATCGCCTGTAATCTGTTAGTTGGAACATGACTTGTTGAGAACAAGACAATTTGAGAAACTATTCACAAACTGATCTTTCAGCTGATATCATTTTCACAAGATGCAGTAAACTTAAAATTCATTTTTAATCAGAAACATGGGGACCATAACGTATTTTTTATTCTTAAATGTGAAGTAGAATTTCATTTTATATTGTTTTGCAAATTCAGGGGAATATATTAGTAAGGGGTGACACATGGAGTAGTTTCACTGAAAGATTTATTCTTCTTCGAGGAACTGATGTTGGGTAAATGGAAACATGAATCACATACAATGAAATGGTATTATCTACTGAATAATGCTTAGTGAAATGTTTATATATCCAAACAAAATTTCTAAATTCCGCTGTCAACGTTTACGAGTTCAGGTGATTCAGTTTACTTTGGAAGCCATTCTAAGATATGCTGCGAGATCTTTACTTGCATGGATCTATGAGTCCCCCTGTGTAACACATGTACATTTGAATTAGTAGATGCAATGTGATGTAACATTGCTGTCCACATACTGTAGGGGTTTGGAAGAGTATACATACCTGATGTTTTCTGTTAATCGAACCCCTGTCTTGAATAGTACGTCGTTTAATAGCATTACTGTCCTCGCTTGAGCACTGTGCCATGACAGTCACCTCCATACAGGAGACTGATATAGACGTCTATGTTCAGGACAAAGTGAGGAACAGGTTTTAGTGCTCCGGTTACTTTGTGCCGGCCAGCAGTTATTTTCAAACAATGTTTCGCTTAGTGTTGTTTTTTTGTCTTTCATGCTCGTTGAGTTCTATTGAATAAACACTGCTTAACGCCGGTTTTTACTGAACTGGATGAAAGCCGTGATAATTCAGATAATGCCCTTACCTAACTACACAGTAATTATCCTAAGACACTGATCTAGAAATATACAATAAATTGTAAGAAAAAGCTTGCTGGCGATTACGGAGATGACAAATTTAGTATGCATAATAATGGTAGCGCTAAGAAATGAGAGTTCTAAACCTTCACAGTGCTACCATATTATGAAGGGACCTCAAAAAGTTTATGCTGGGTCAAAACAAAGTTGGAATTAGAGCCACACTGAAACTGGAAAACTCACTGAGAAGCAAGATTCGTAGGTCAAAAGATCGTGTATAAAACTTCGAACAGAATAATTTAGACCATCGAATTCCATGAAACTGTTGTGAAGTCAAATACATTGCACGAGGTAATCAGCCATTGTGATTTAGAATAAAAAGCACAAAGCTTGATCGAATCTAGAATGATAAACCTGATAAGCCAAAAATTTCAAGGAAAAGCTTAGATGTATCATTGCATGCTACCATGAATGGTCGCTTGATTGGACAGGAGGTAAAGTGACAGTCCTAAGTGTTAGCTCAGAAAGCTAAGGGTAGAGGTTGATGGTTGGAACAATGTTTATTGAATCGACTTCAAAAAAATTTGATGGGGATGACCCAGTATTGATCCTAGATATCTCAGAAATTCTACAATCTCTAAAACAAGGAAAGTAGGGGAAATGGAGCTATAAAGAAAGATGTGAAAGTTATGCTGCTTTAGATGCGGTTGGGAAAAGAGAATGATGTTTGAGATGACATCAAGTAAAAACATCACTATTTCATTGTGTAAAATGTCCAGTATAGCATTTAAAATTAAGCTAGTGATTGTGGTAAGGTGATTGCAAACCGCAGGCCTCATAAATTTACAAAGAATGACTCAGATAGTCTTTCATTATTGCAAGTATGTTTCTACACAAAGCTGAAAGTAATATATCACATAAACAGTCGAACTAGAATGAAATTACACGTAAATATCATTGTTTACATTTACATGGTAAGGAAATGATAATCGGTCTACGCATATTATTTGCATAAAATGCTAAACATATTTAATGAAAGGGTCAGAAGACTAAAGCTACAAAGGTTAAAAAAATATGACATATCGAAATGTATACGATACATTAGTGGCGTCATTTCGGCGAGGATTTCAAATATCTTGGGTAAATACGCATAGTTCTGCATAGTCTGAGTAAATTGTAAGGAAATCTATGCATCATGTGTTCATTAATGTGACGATTATTTATCAAGCGTAAGGGAAGAAATATTGGGTCAAGCTAGTTGAATGAAGATAAAAACCTATCTATGACATTACCTATGATTTTAACAGTATTAGCCATTGTTTATCAGTTTCATCAATGAATAGTAAGGTGCTAGTCACAATACCTATGCTTTGAACTTGATTGCACCCCACTTAGTAAGTTCATATTGCTAAAATGTCTACGGTGGTGATGAAAATGATGATTTGTACCCGTTGGTTCCAGTGACTCTTAAACTGATGCCAATCTTTGACGAAAATTGTCTTAACATCAAGTGATTCTTCTAAACCATTTAGAAGACTTATAGGGTAGGTATACGAATTAACAAGCTCAATATACATCTTACTTCCAACTCCCAACTAGTATCCATTTGCTAAATACAATCTTTTGAAACATCATAGTTAGATAACTGTGAAAACACTCCATGCTTTTGATGATTAGAAACTAAGAGTCATGTAGAGGCTGCTTACTGTCTGATACTTCAACGGGAACGGGTCATATTTTAATTTGAAACAATACTCTTGTTTTCATTAGTTCAAATGGTACTGATCTTGAAGTTGAATCATATCCACTAAGGATACTCAATTTGAAGCAAGAACGGGATGACAACGTGAAATCGATTAGTTTACTCAAGCATAATTACCTTTGAAACTATAAGAAAAGTAAGGTTATTACTAAAAAAGTTATTTGATGTAAAATAATAAGTGGCGTGAGTTGTCGATTGTTATCGAGTAACACCACAATTTGGAAACACATCGATAGAGTACATTTCGTTATACGACTCAAGAATAACAAAATTTCCATTAGTTTTTAAACTAGTCACTTTTTTCTATCTCCCAATCATGTTCTATACCAAAAAATGGCATCAAAAGCATTTAACTTCATTAGATCATTAATTTATGTGAGACGTTTCAGGAACATAATAACTCCACTTATTAAATAAGACCAAAATCAGTTTAATTTTAACAGTTACATTCTGCAGTTATTTGACTACAGAGTATATGAGACAGTCATATTTCAGAACAGACAACTCGTACAAATAGAGAAGGAGAATGACAGACAGAGATAATATCAACGTATAACCTCGAGAACAAATGCATTAGTTCCAGCTGCCACACTTCACAATAAAATACAATGAACAAGTGCATAGGAAGACGGAGATCATTCTAGACGAAGGTGTATAGGGAGGAAGACGAAACTTGAAAGTCAAGGTTAGTCAAAATATTCAAAGAGTGAATACATCTGCATCATTGTAAGTAACTTTCAGCACTTTCAAGGAGAGTCCACAAACACTGATTCTCGTCGTCTCGAGGACCTCGGGCAGGCGGTCGAAACCTCCCTGGACGACTCAGACCAGCAGTCAGGCACTTCATGCAATGGTACCACGTCTTAGTCTAGCCAACCTGAACCCTCCTCCAACCTAATCCAATTTCCCCTAGTCCGGCACGTCGAGTAGGCGGTGGCTCCGTACGCACAATATAGGTCGAAGCGATCTTAGTCGATGAGGGTTCACAATCTCATCAATCTACTTGCCTGTCTTACCCAATACCCTTCCCCTGACCTCAGTACTGTTCACCAGGTGGTTTCATCAAACACAAGGAATGCTACAAGGACATTTTGGACTGAGAACCTGTAACCGCTTCAACAACCATGCCTCATAGAGTATAACAGGACAGAACGGACGGCATATAGTATACTTGTCTTTTGATAGATAGATAGGTGAGTATCTCGTCAGTCGGCAATCTGAAGATTGACGTCAAAATAATTACTCATATGTATAAGGTTATTCTGATTTTATTATTTAGATGATATAGTATAGCATAACTACTTTCTTTGTTTCGCAACCAAACGTAGTGCATAATAAATGAAAAAACAAAAAGTCTAATTCGAAAAATTGATATTCACTCTCTTTTCCTGGATTAAAAAAACAGTAATCTACTTCCACAGAAACTAAAGGTATTTCACTACAACGTCTTAATTGATTTTATGCCTTCATTTCTTTTCACAAAGCTCCTATCTTTAATCCGCTGCTTCTTATTTTCGTTATTGCCACTGTTTAAAATAAAAAACATCATTCAACTAACTATGAAAACCATCATCACACTTAAGACAACATTTTTTTGCTGTACTTGTCTTTGTTACATTTCTCACATTTGATACAACCACCTGGTGAACAGTACTGAGGTCAGGGGAAGGGTATTGGGTAAGACAGGCAAGTAGATTGATGAGATTGTGAACCCTCATCGACTAAGATCGCTTCGACCTATATTGTGCGTACGGAGCCACCGCCTACCTCACGTGCCGGACTAGGGGAAATTGGATTAGGTTGGAGGAGGGTTCAGGTTGGCTAGACTAAGACGTGGTACCATTGCATGAAGTGCCTGACTGCTGGTCTGAGTCGTCCAGGGAGGTTTCGACCGCCTGCCCGAGGTCCTCGAGACGACGAGAATCAGTGTTTTGGACTCTCCTTGAAAGTGCTGAAAGTTACTTACAATGATGCAGATGTATTCACTCTTTGAATATTTTGACTAACCTTGACTTTCAAGTTTCGTCTTCCTCCCTATACACCTTCGTCTAGAATGATCTCCGTCTTCCCTATGCACTTGTTCATTGTATTTTATTGTGAAGTGTGGCAGCTGGAACCAATGCATTTATGTTCAAGGTTCTTTTCTATCTTCTTGTAAAGTTATTTTTATTTCAAGTTGTATATTGATGTTAACTACCTTCACTTTGTTATTAATGTGTGGTATTCATACTATTCAAGCATGTCAGTAATTTCGCTATGTATAAAATTCTAGATGTTTGAGCCTGATTGATATGAGAGGAAGACTTGGGTATACTAGTCGAACTTAATTTCATATTACATTTATTTATTTAAGTTGGCTTTCATACTGAAGCTTTGGTTTGCGAGAATATGGCTGTAGCAAAATGATTGAGTAATAGTAGTGTCTCTTATATGTTATTCAGTGCTTCACCATATACTATGTGAAACACATGAAACACACGAATGCGGAACACTTGAGACGAAATGAAAACCTTGATTGTGGCACCTTGTATCAATAATAATAATGATAATAATAATAATAATAATCCGATAAGGCACAGGTAGCTCAAGTAGCTTTATTATACAGAATTGTCAAATCTAATGTAATCAATAAACTTATTTATCTACTCGACTTTGAGTTTTATGGGGATTTATTGACTTCAGGTTGGTATTCATCATGAACTGATATCAGCTGGGGAACATTAGTAACCTAGGGGCACTGGACAATTGTTTCGCCCTAATATGGGACTCTTAAGCAATGTGTACATACTACCTCTCCAGAGATCGAGCCAGGACCTCCAGGTTCCTCGGCCAGCACGTTACCATTGAGATATAAGATTGAGATCTAGTGGTGCATGTTTCCTACTTCACTTAGTTCATGATATAGTGGGACTTCCATCTACTGCCGCCATTGAATGAACGTCCTCATATTTGACTTTTTTTGGCTGCGCTGGTCAAGGATTAAACGTAGCGAACATAAACATTTCACAAAATGACAGTAAAGTATATTTGTTTAAGTCTGCATATGCTTTGAGTGAAAACATGGATAGATAAGAGTAGAACCTTACAGAGATGAGAATTAATTCGAGTCGTCACATTATACAATAAGAAAAAGGAAGAAACTGAACTGAAATAGGATAATTATACAATATTTTAAAAAATATTGACCACATTGAAAACAAGTGACAAATACCAATGTTTCCAATATATTTTTCATAACGAAGTGGAAAACCATTGAAAACGTGGGACCTTAAGGTGTCAGTTCTAATTTAGTATTAGATTCTTCAGTAATGCAAGCAGTGATAAAAAGTACTGTCAAATCAGTAGACCCCTAGAAATCACCAATTTAATCATTATCCAGCGCTAAATAATGACACCTTGAGATGAATGTCTTGAAGTTTCAGTGAGAAGTCCTGATCTTTGGTACCAACCAAGTTGGCAGTCAGTTGGTTTCCAGCTGACATTGAATAATGGTTGAACTATCTCAAAAACTGACTCGGCTAAAAATCTGAGTACCGTGAGACTCAAACTTAGTGACTGAATGGTGACGTGCTTACCAAGAGACATGACGGTTTACGGATTTGATCCCTAACATATTCGTGGGTACGTACTGCTAAGGCTTTCAATGGAAACTTGTTGTCTATGATTCTGTCCTCTATATGAAATGTAACCACATGAAAACTCCTTGAGAATTTAGAAAATAGTTCAGGAAAATGAAATGAGAAGTAATTTTCTTAGATCCAGTAGAAATTGTCATCATCAGAATTGTGAATAAGCCTATAAATAGTCAGTGAAATCTTTTCAACAATTCACTGCTTCCCAGAATGACCTCATAATCACTTCCAACTTGATTGGTCACTTCAAGATCCTCTGTTAGTTGTTCAAGGATGGCAATATTTTATAGTTCTACCCAGTCAACCTTTGATTTTATGAATGGTATGTGTTCTTTATATTGTTGGGATGAATGCACGTATGAGTTAGCCAGCCAATTATTCATTTGAAATTCACTTAATTTTGGTCTTGTGATAGTCACCGATCAGTTATCGAGAGCCAACCACATTAAACTATTAGCGTAATCGTTCAGCTTGTATTTCTAGTCTACCGTTCAGTTAATTGTGTCATGATGGTGATTTCTAGCCCCGCACAAGTTTAAGCTACAACACACTAATTATGCGGTTACTGTAAACCCAACCGCTCTTAAATGGCACTATTATCATTATTATGACTATGGTTATTATGATTATTAATTATTATTATTATTGTTATTATTATTAGTCCCTTGGGTTCCTAATGGAACATAGGGCTTCAGTAGCACGTCTCCAGTGAACTCTGTTAGCCGAAATCTTTTGAACCTGGCTCCACGACAGCCCACAATCTCTCATTTCCTCCTCACACGATCTCCTCCATGTCACCCTCGGACGTCCAACTCGTCGCTTCTTATGGGGATTTAACTCGAGCAACTGGCCTGACGCGTGATGTCCCCAGTCGGCCTTCTCACTGTATGCCCAATCCATCTCCACTTCCTTCTACATATTTGTTGAGCGATAGCTTCTTGCTTGGTTGGTTCGTTCCCAGAGCTCCTTGTTGTTGTTAGCTCAGTTCTTATGAATAACCTAGGCTTATATACTACTTTAAGACTTAGTTATTGCACTGTTTTTATGCAGGATATCCAAGTTATACAAACTTTTGTCCATATACTGACTGAATTCATTTAAGTCATTTCACAAAATAAATATACATAATTTAACTTACATTCATCATCTTTGTGCTTATCTAAAACATCCTCATCAAGATAAAAGCCTGTAATTTGATTTTCATCAATATTAAGTACAATTTCATTTCTCCATTGTTCATCGTTAACATCGCTATCCATGCCTTCATGTTCATGCCTACCATGTTCAGGAGATTGAGTAATTTGATCTTGTTTGAATTTAACTCTCTTAGGTGTTTTTTTCAAAATTTGTTCTTTAATATCATTTTGAGTAAAAAATGAACTACGTCCATTTCCCATTTCATAAATATATATAGAAATTTGTTTCGAGTTACATTAACGAAATGATTTATATAAGTTTATTCTGAGTTCCCAATTACATATGCACAAACCTCTTTCTGCATTCATTCTATGATATGGTTATTTAGGTAGATTGTTCAATTGATCAGTCACATGAATCATCATTGATTTTCCATTCTTATATCTTTTCTAACGCCTTTAATACATGTATTCTTCTTGTGTCATCCTAAAATGGTATGCAAATTTATGCAAGCCAGTTCTGAGATATTAACCATACCAGAAGTGGGATTGTTTTATTTCCGACTGGTTATTGTTATTATGCATGCAAACAGTGATGGAAGTTTTAGAAATATTGTCAAAAAGGGATATTTTCAGATCAGCTTGGAAAGATGCTTATACATAGATCATATCATATTGATACTTGTATTGTCCAGTCGTTGATTGGACCAAATTGGTCAGTCACTATTGGCATATGGGCTCCTGTACGAATGGCTCTATTTTGCACGTGTTTAAATTTTATAATGATGATATACTTTGGCTATCAGTGAGACCCAGGAAGCGCTTTTCATCTGAGTTAGAACAACGGTGCCCACTAGAAGGCAAGTACATCCAGCTGACGAGTCTTAAATGGGATGAAACTCGAGTCATGGATTCCACTGCTAGCCACTGTCCATCAGTAACATAGACTATATTGTCTCGTAAATTTGAACTCACCGATTGCGAAGGAGTGATATGATGAACGTTTGACAATGTGGATTTCTAGATTTATATTGTACATTACAAATATAGCCATCTACGCAGTAAATGACTGGGGAGTAGTTTTGATTAGCTACCTATGTAAAATTCACTGACATGACAACAGTATCGTATTAATAGTCAATCGGTTGGTCAGTATCAACAATGATACCTAGTTCTACTGCTTTATCGCCCAAGTTGCCACATCTCTCATAAATACATTAGAAAACACAGTAACAAGACGAAAAACAGAGAAAAAGAAATGATGTAATCAAAAGTCATAGAAAGTCAAAAGAAATACTGTGGTGGAGTGAAATTCCACATTATTTTATTTACTTCCTATAACACCTAGTAATACACTGTTATTTATGCGATGGTGTTTCGAGTAGAACTTATCGCTCAAATTCATATCCAATTAGTCGTATGACTTTCAAACTTATTAAGTCCCAAGGACCCTCATGCTTTTATTATAAGGATAATAAAATTATCCGAATATCTGTAATGTATGATAAATCATTCTTGTTACATGTGTTAGGGTTGATTGAATGAACAAAGAATATGTAAAGTATCTCTTCCTTCATCCAACTATATTGGATTTTACAGCTGTTACCCTATAAAAACTCTTTGTTTTGATCATGTATCAGTGCATGTTGAAAGATAGCTGAGTTTTTCCTTAAATTACTTGATAGGGTTTTATTGTACCTTGACTGACTCCGACCAGTATACTTGGCCTCATAGTCACGATATATTACTTGATAGATTAAATTATGTTACTTACTCTTGAACCTACTGGATCCTTTAGCCTACAAAATTTGTCTCCCATTGAGTTTATGGGTTTAAATGCGACTCTAATCGCTGTATCAGCAGAAATCTACTAATGACTTTTCTGTATGCCTTATTTATATGGCAACATATGGATTTAAATGACCTCTTAGGCGTGTTACCACTCTTCCTCATATACGAGCCCTCACAAACTTTTAATATACTCTGAAGGGTAGCTATTAGGCAATAACCTATCTCCACTGTATCTGAGTTCTTTGTTTAGAATTTCTGCTTTACTAGTTAGACTCCTGGCTTCAGTACTGAAACATCTTACCAAGTTTACCTTGAAAGATATGGGGTGAGATGATGTAAATAAAATCCAAGCTTTATTGCAGTGTTGACTGCACTCTAGTTTGAGTGCTTGTAGGGATTTATTCATTCCAAGGCAGTATTCATCACGAGCTGACATTAGTCACAGAACCACTGAAAATCTGGACAGCTGTTTCGTCCTAGTATTGGACTCCTTATCAGTGCCTACCCATGACACCACCAGAGATCGAAAACACGACTTCATGTTCCGCTTCACACCACAGATATTTTGGTAGTTTTACTACTATCAAAATAATAGCATGGTCGACTGTTTAATTACATAAATGAAGTTTAAAAGTTATCTAAAAATACTCTGATATGAATATGAGCAATAGTTTATTTGAATCGCCGTCCTGTAAATATTGCTGTATCAAAATGATCCAATGCAACTAACGTAACGTTGAATGATGACAAGGATAACTATATGTGTAGATGGAACTATGCCACTAGAGTTGACTTGAGGTGTATCACCTGCATTCTACAAGTGTTAATCTCGAACCGAAGAGTCTATATTTCTATACGTTGCTCAGTTCAACTATTAAAGACCTTATAGACTGATGATGTGTTTTAACATTTTTGTCTTCACTCTCTTTGGCAGCATAAATATGATTTAGCAGAAATAGCATCACATAGTAGGTGGTGATAAGACATACTGAAATATATATATGTTTCCTAAGTGACTGAAGACTTACGACGTAATCAACTGACCTACTCCTCTTACATGAAAATCTGGTCTTGACCTCGATATTACCCACATGTTAATTCTAAGTCAGGCAGACAGCATTATGTAGACAAAGGTAATCAAGCATCTGAGACGTTCTCATATCCTTCATTTTGAATGACAATACTTCATGACCATATAGTAAGGCAGAGGGAACTGATACACGATAATTTATTAGAGTTTATATATTTTAAAAACCAGACTGTTCCTAAGAAATACGTAGGCAAGTATTAACCGAAAGTTAAGTAGACAGATTTGTGAGAAAGTGGTCCATTGCAAAAAGGTTTTCTTCACGGAAAACAGTCAGTTAGATAACTAGTGAGAAATATATAATACAGGACAACTGCTTCTTTCTAGCTTGGTGCTCTTAACAGTGTACACTAATGAATCCACTAATGACACCATATGATAATAACAAAAGGTTGTATCAATCTTGGAAGAAGGTTATTACTTCCTTCTACAGTTTGGTGCGCACCCCAGCTAATCAGGATAGAACGAATTCCAGTCAATTTATCGCATCTTCTTACCTAGGTGAAATTGAATCTCATTTATTTCTTATTAAGAATCTACTACTGAAGTTTAGTTTAAGTAATGTATTGCGAAATGATGTAAAAGGATACGGAAAAGAAATCCTGAATGAATTCATTAGTTATGCAAAATTAGGTGTGAATTTAATTTCATTTGTATCTTGAGGAACCTCTGTACGTACAATCGTTTGTCAGTTTTATCACATTTTTTATCTTCTCCTTATTCAATACCTTCTCTGGAAAAATTTTACTTTTTCCAAAATGATATTTTGCAGGAGAATGGCATTCATGAGAAGAATGTTATTCATAAACTCAAACTGTGATCACTAGTCACCAAGTTGCAGTGCTTCTGTGTATCTTAAACTTTAAAAATTAACAATGATGCACTATATAGAAATGTAGTTCATAATACATGTCTCTCACCATTTCACATGTGTGAATACTATTTATGCTTCAAAAGCCTTTCTTGGTCTGGCTATGGATGACTAATAAATCAAAATTTAAACTACAGAATGTAAGGTAGATTTCAATAACTTTTAGTTATAAACGAAAGAGAAAACACTGGAACGAATGATATGCATTTAGTATATTTTTCCAGGTCTCATCAGCTAAATACGAATACCGTCTTCTTACTGGTTGTCTTATATACGGGTTTATTTAGACGTAGTCCTGTTAAACTTATTCCTATATTAGCTTATTTTATTTCCTCTCAAAAGGTAATAATAATAACGGCTTTATTCTAAACAATATGTGTGATACAGTATAGAAGTCTTAGCAAAGAATATTTCAGCAAGTTCGCTCCATGTACAGTATTCCTAAAACGAATAATAACTGCGTCTGAATAGTGTTGAGTAATGTGAAACAGGTGGCTGGTGTTATATAAGCGTTTGATCTGCACTTGGAGATGAACACAAAATCAGGTGTAATTTTGATGATAATAGGTCATTTAACCAGGAAAAAATTCTGCTATTCCATATGGTTAAACCAGAAATAGTACTGTGCTGTATTTTTGAGCATTTATAAGTCCATTCCCATCCAGCGTAATGGCTTCATGTTTTGTTCTCAACATTAGAAACGACAGTTTGAAAACACTTAAAAAATATGCAGGAGTACATGATACATTTAGAAGAATAAAACAAACTGGGAGGGTAGAATGTGATGAAATATATTCGATGGAAATTTGTTAGATAGCCGAAAGTTTAGGCATGTCGCCTAGTAGTGAAGTGATCAATGGACCCTGAACTGTTTGTGAACTTCTACATACTTCATTTCTCATAAATAAGGGCTGAAAGAATCCTACGAAATAAAAAGCCTTCTACTTCAATTTCATACATTTACCTTACTTAATATTTTCATTTTTGTATAATGATATCTTTCACAGTCTATCAAAAGTCACATGTATGCTCCTTACACTGAAATTCCCTAGTAATTCAGTTATGAAATGACTGACTCAAAGATATTTATCACTGTGCATTGACATCGGTTTTAGAACTCATAACGATCTCAAAGCTTTGAACTTTCATAGCACTAGCACACATTATAATCAGTGAATTAAGTGAATAAAAAAAGGTGATATCAGGATGTTTGTTCAAAAAGTTGTTGAGTATGAAGAATAAAATATTCCATAACTCTACTAAAACAGTCATTCAATGCCATCTGATTTCCAGTTATTATCCAGCTGAATGTGGTGTATTAAAAAAAGACTAATTCAAATGTTTAGTTGCCTTCGGTATATTGTGAGTAGTATGAATCAGCTACGGCGGAGTGAAATGTGTCAATTTATGGTCGTAAATATCGGTTAATGCTGAAATATCCCCTTAGTCTTATCTACCGACCAGCAACTTGGAAAGCTGAATATTGAGGTAGCGTATTTTAGCTTTGAATAGCTGTTTTCAGTGCGATGTAAATGAAGTTCCATACGTAGTGTTCATTTCTATCTGCATCTAAAATCGAAATAGATCTCATAATCGAAGTTAAAAGGATAGCAACTCAGATCTAGATATTTTAAGATCCTACTTCCAGTGCTGAC